TTGTGTAAAAAACCATTTGACGGCAAACAAAAACAAAAAAAACTCAAATGATTAAAAAGGAGAAAAAAAAAATTTTAAAAAAAAACTTGTCGATCTCGCCTTTAGATCTCACTCGCCTAGGTAGACCATCAGACCTCAATTTGCTCTTTCCATTTCCTCAAGGGGTACCAAAGACGCCTTTGAGTATGGTTCATGACTCATGCAGTCATGTCCATGTTAAAGTCATAAGATGGATTCCAAAAATTCAATAAGCACGTAGAGGAAGCGACAAGCAAAAGTGGTTAAAACAAATTTCATCGGGTAGGATGTGGAATGTTTTAGGCCATCATGCATGCTTCCAAAAATCATAAGAATGTCATATGTTTTGGATACTAACACTTTATCAGTTTTGGAGGACGGCGCAGAAAGTTGAAATTAAAGGAGTGGATCATGTTATACAAGACAATAGCTACAAGGGAAAACGTTAACGATAAATAATTTGTGGTGAATTGGATCAATATGTCACCCTGCCAAGCTTACTGTTTCTTTGTTTTGTTCCTCTCCTTTTTTTTTTGAAACATGTGCTCTCATTTTTGGGTCACACTCCAGAATTTGTCACCTCCTTGGTTCCGGTCCAACATGGTTGCCCACAACTAGACTTTAATACGAACAGTTGATATCAACGATTGAAAACAGTATCGGAGGTCATACCGGATTAGTTTATAGTAGGGTCGTAGTTCAAGTATTTCATATTGATTTTTAAATAAAAAAATATTTTTCTAAAATTATCGTACACATTATCATATCGAAAAAAATACTAGAATTACACAGGATATCAATGTGTCAAATACTAACTAACTGAACATGAGAAACCAAGGCACACAAGGCACATGTAGTAAAATTTGATGGGTTTTAAATAAAATAATATATTTTTGTTAAATTACGGTACCAGCAAAAATATGCTATCATACCATAAACATATCAGACTTACACAAGATAACAATGTGATAGAAACAAGTTTTCTATCGAGATTGTTGTTTGGGAATTAGGGTTTATAGGATCAAAATTGATGAATTAGGGATTAGAAGATAGAATTGGGAATTTTGGGAAGAATAGGGGAGGGACAGAGATAGAACGGCCGACGACCTTAGAGAGTGACACGAGGAGAAATTGAGAGATAGGGTTGGGATACTTTTCGTATTAACTTGCTTAGTTGCTTGGTACAATCCAAAGTACGTACATATTTATAGTGAATACTAGAAAATCCTAATAACAAATCTAATTCTACTAAAATACTACTAATCATAATAAGAATTACCCTGATAATAACTATAATACTAATAACCATAACCGATAGAAACCTTGTTTCTATTACAACGAGTCAAATACTAACTAAACATGAGAAACCCAGGCACAAAAGGTACATGGTGTAAAATTCAAAACTTTACCAGTTAATATTAAAATTAAGTATAACTAAACCCAATTTTAAAGTGCAAACGATACCTTCTATCTCAGATGTCAGAGATAGGGCTCGTTCTTTGTTCGTCGGAGAGAGCTGAGTGTCGGTTTAGCGGAGGAGAGAGAAGTATTGATTAGAGTTGTGTTGGAGAGGAGGGCTCTGCTCAATTTTCATTGTCCCCAGCTAACTTTCTCTCAAAATGACATGGTTTTGGTGTTGGAGAATTTCTTAGAATTTTTTTTTTGGATGTTCGACATGATTAAAATTGATTGTAATACCAAAGTTCATAAGTTTGACCTCTAAAACCCAGCCGACACAATTTTTTACAACCGTTGCTTGCACCATTATGAATTTGTCTTAAGTAATGGTATTTTGAGGTTCAACACATATTTTTTAACTCATGTTAGTACAAACTGTTGTATACTTTGCAATGACAATATTTATTTGAGATGAAAATATAATATTGTTGAGGGGATGGTAACCAAAGAGAACGTTGTAGTACTTGTAACCCCACATGTGGTGTAAAAGAAAGAGGGTCATCATTGCAACAACTACAATCGGAAATTAAATTGACAATTTCTGGTTGACAGCAACTTATCATGCTGCTACCTAAATAAAGCCAACCAAAAAAAGGTCCCCATCCTCACTCATCAGCTCCCTCCTTACTCACTCCCCCCACTCTCAAATATTTATTATGGCCACTTATTAAAATTGCTCATGCTAATTGTTAACTAGAGTGGTGCATCCATCCATCCATCCATTAGGTTCATAATCAAATCGAATCGGCATTATCCCGATCCTATACAGTTAAATGCAAATGTCGAGTAAGTACGATTCAATCTGGTACGAAACGAATTGTTTGTACACCCTTATCTTGCACTGATGAGCTTTAGCTAACAATGATGCCCATTTGACACAGCAAAAATTCATGAGCCTCTCTCAGCTATAGCTCCTGCCAACTACCTGATTCAAGCTCGCACTCTTCTTCAGTGCTTTTTTTAGGGTTTTTGATCTGCTGCAAAAACGTTGCCAGAAGACACCATGTGTAGCATGTCAGAGAGAGCAATGTGACTTCAGGAGGATTTATTATTACCACTTCTGCTCTCTACTTCTTTCACCCTTCTTTCCAGCAAAGGAATTGCAACTACCCATTGCGCAGAATCATACATCATAATTTATGATGGTCACAAGCTGAATGTTAATGTGGCATCATGAGTATGGCTGGTTAATTTCTGCGAGCAGCACCTGATGCACTATTTTCAATTTGTTTTTTTTTTTTTTCTGACAGAAGGGTTCGTTATCTTTACAGAGACGACTTGTGCAGGCGGGCAGGCAGGCAGCAGGGAACCAAGAGCTTTTGTACGTATCGTGAATTTTCCGTATGTTAACATGGCACGCTCATAGATTCAGTACCGAGAGCAACGAACCGAAAGAGTACATACTTTTGAACAGTAGTTAGTCAGATACTATACTTATATATACTGCTAAATCGTAATGATTTAATAGATATATATGATCCAAGAAATTTTCGATTGAGGAGAGGGTTAATTACTCGAGAAAAACTAGTAATTGATATTCTATTAAATAGTTAGTGTTTGATTGGAATTAGTCTTGTAATCGAGTCGTTGTGATATTCCTTTTGAGCTTTTCTTCGAAAGAAAAGAAGATAAAGAGGGTAAACATTATTTTTTATCCAAATATTTGACGAATTCTAAAATATTAGCTTAAATTTTTTAGAATACAAAATATTAGTAAAACCTTTTATAACACTACAATATTATAATCATTTTTTAAAATTTAGATCATAAATTAAGAAACAATTTTTTTTTGTGTCATGTCACCATATTCCTTCCATCTCGGTATCGCATATGATGCAATATTAGGATTACATCATCATCCCCCAGTTCATCATCATCTAACAGAAGTATTAACGGAAATTTGACGGTTGGCCAATATCTCGCATTCTCAAAGGTTTAGCTAATGTTTAGAATCCGTGAAATGTTTGGCTAAAAAATAGTATTTACTTAAAAGATATAACCCTAACGGAAGTATTAACAATGATTTAACGGAAGTATTAACAAAAAATAGTATTTACTAAAAAATAGCCAATACGCCCGCTCATCATCACCTAACCCTAACGGAAGTATTAACAAAGATTTAATGATTGACACATATTTCGTATACTTAAAAGTTTGAGTAATATTTTAGAATTCGTGAAAGATTTGAGAAAAAATAGTATTTAAAAAAAATTATAGTTTGATACTACTCGAGTAGTGAACTTCAGTAGAAGTCATTTCTCACCCCTCGAGAGCATTCAAAAGATATCAATGTAAAACGGGTAATAAAAAAAGGAGCAGCCAGTCGAATTGGATGGGAACCACCGCCCCACGGTCTGTTCAAAATGAACACGGATGCCGCAGTGCTGGGGGAAGATGGAACGGGTTTCGGCATGGTGATCAGAAATGGGGAAGGGATCTTCCAGATGGCGGCGGTGCATCGGACGAGGACGAGATGGGCACCGGAAATGGCAGAGGCACTCGCCTTTCTGTGGGGTTTGAGACTGGCTAAGAACAATCATTGTGTGCCTTTACTTGTGGAAACGGATTGTAAATCTTTGGTGCAGAAGCTGGATAAGAAGGAGTCATCGGTATGGGAGATTGGTGGGATCTGCGACGAAATCAGGGAGATGGTGGAAGAAGGAAATGTCAGCTGGAGAATTTGGGGAAGGGCTGGGAATGAATGTGCTCATCAGATGGCCCGAGTGCGATGTAGGATGGAGGAATCTGAGATATGGTTCAACCGCCCTCCGATCATTTTACTACCCCAATTAGCAAAAGATGGCAATGTAGTCCCTGAACTTTCTTAACTTTTCAATACAGACTTGTTATAAAAAAAAAAAAAAATCTGCTCAGTCTAAGAGGCCTTCCTGATTCCTCTCTCATAGATTCGTTTGATCGATCGAAAATACCACATAAAACTCATGTGTTTTCCTCTCTTTACTTATTCTCGATCTTTTAAGTTGTTGTAAGGTGTAGTTCGATACTCCCGGGAGTAGTGAAATTCAGTAGTAAGCCATTTCTCACTCCTGGAGAGCATTCAAACGATATCAATACGAAAGGGGTTAAAAAAAGAGAAAGGAGCAGCCAGTCGACTGGACTGACAAGCGCACGTTCAAAATCTGCTCAGCCCTAAACCTGTTCGACGTTTTTAATCAACAAAATTTCCCTCACTCACTCACTGACCGACCGACTGGTGCGGCAACTGGCAAGTAAGTAAATATTTTGGAGAGACAAACAACACCACACTTTAACACACTGCTGTGCTGCTCAGGCATTAACTATAAACAACTCCCTCATCTTGATCAGAGAGCAGCAAGTGGTCTGTCTGTGTGTTATGACAAGCCACACCTTTATTTTGCTGCTTTTCAAGAAATCCAGAGACAAAGATCCCCCAACTCAACCCAACCCCATTCCAACCTTTATAATTTTTTTATGAACCTACCAAACTGGTCATACCACACTGAATCCCACTTCTGAATCACCCACCATTATACGCAAAGATTCACCCCCGTCGTCTATTCCCGATTTTTATTAAATCAATTCGAATCAAACTTTACTAGACATCGATTTGAACATGAACGAAGTTTGTTGAACCGCGGATATATATAGTAACGTGAGCTTAAATCAAAACAATGATGAAAATGAACCCTGCTTTAACTTGAACGCACCACACATTGATCAAACAACTTATTGCACAAAACCTAAGTAACATCGTACCTTCACCCATCAGTTAATTAACTAACGCAACTAACAACATCATAATTAATCATCTACCATCTAATACCTAAAAACCCATCTTCAGGTTGACCACCTTGGAGCTGCTGCTGCTGGCGGCGGCGGTGCTGACGTGGACGGCGTAGGGTGAAGAAGGGACGAAGAAGTCGCCCAAAGCTGTGCAGTCTTAACCTTGGAGATGCTTGCCAGTACGCCCAGAGGGGTCACCTTCCCTTTCACGATCACCTGCTTGGTCGCTAAATCGATGCTGAACGACGTCACCCCTGTATCAAGTTCACAAAATAAGATAATACGTTCAAACTCGTGATTAAAAACACAGAAACGTATAACGCGCGACTAGACGATTTTGACTGCATTATATCGCTCTTGGTGTAGACTTTTCCAATATGTAAAATGTACAATACCGACCTGACTGAGAAAGAGCGATTTTTTCTGTTCAGCAAGCCGTTACGATACGGTACCACCACGAAGCAATGGGACCAATCCAACAACAGCAATATCATTTATTGATATGATAGGGGTGTGCAAATGCAACTATCGTAACGTACTGGTGGCTCAACCAACCTAACCCCAAATTCAATGTAACGATCTCGACAGTTCTTTCTTTGGGCTCCCAAAATTTTGTCTCTCTTCCTCTCGTCCCACTCCAAGTTTCCATTTGTGGGTAACGTTTAGCAGTACTATATCGCTACCAGCCAACTGAAATATGCTAATGTATGTGTACTCTTGCCGAGTGGGTGAATTCTGTTTCTACGTACTTACCTTCCATTTTGGAGATATGTTTCCTCACTTTCCCTTCGCATCCCTTGCAATGAATCGACACCCTCAAAACCACCACCTGCAATTTAATAAGCGAAAATGAGAATAAGAAGAAGAAAAAAATTTAATGAGGTAGGAGTTTCATCAATCTCCTTAATTCCTCTGTTTCTGCTCTGTTTTCGCTCTGTATTCTTTTTGCTGCTTACCTGGTCATGTGAGCGAGCGGAGGAAGATGATTTCAGAACCGGAGGACAGTCCTGGAAGCTTACACGCCGAGGTGTCCTGGCTTGCGCCGGAGCAACAGCGGAGACGACGTGTTTATCTGACGTTATCTCATCGCTCGATTCGCTGCGATTCGGTTTCGAGTGCCGAGTAGTAGCGACAACCATCCCGGAGAAACGACCCGAATCGGAAAAAACAGGGTCGTCGGAGCGAGCCAGCTCGGAAACAGAGGAATGGCGATGTCCACGTTCGGTAACGGGGACATAGCCGCCAGCGGAGGTCGTCTCCTTCGGCCGATTCGGCCACATTTGATTGCGATCGGGATTAGGAACCGGAGCAGAGTCGGAAACCCAATCGGGCGGCGCGCCGGTTCGATCGTCGCTGCTCAGGAGATGAGTAGAAGAACCTAAGCGGATGTGCTGCTGCCGGCGGCGGAGCTGGAGAAGAAGATCGCGGGGGTCCGCGGAGGAGGTCCTTCTGCGGGAATCGAAAGGGGTGCTCTGTTTTTTACTGTCGGAAACAGAGGAAGGGTGTTTGTACAGGTCGGAGAGCACGACGGAGGTGCTCCGCCGCTGCTTGCTGGGATTGACGGGGAAGAATTCGTGAGAAGAGCAGGTCCCGAAAATGGGCTGCTTAGAAGAAGTGGCGGTGGAGTGGCGGACCATGGAGCGGTGGTCGAGGCTGGAGCAGATGGCGGTGGAAGAAGGGGAGCTGCAGAGGAACTCCATTCTCTTCATCTTTGTGAGAGTAATGGTGAAATGGGTCTTGTGGGTGAAGAGAGAGAGAGAGCACTGAAGGAGGAGTGAGTAATTGGGGATAGTGAGATTTTGAAGGGTAGAGATGCAGAGTAAAGAGGGTGCGTGGAAGGTTTGATATAAAGGGGGAAGTTTTGGGGAAAGGGAAATGGAACCCACAAAGGGAAAGGAGAGAAAAGATGAATGATTATGATTTATGAATGGCAGTGGGGTTGGGAGGAAGGTGTGTGTGATTAATCTGGATTCTTGGCCTTTGACAGGGGAGGACTGAGGAGGACCAGGTGTGTCTAGTTAAACTCAGTGGTAAATGCAGAGTTTGGAAGGGCGGGTGTACAATAAAACAGAGGGGACGGAAATGGAGGGTTGTGCTGCAAATGGGTAGGCTTGGGAAGGGATCAATAGGTAGAATTTAAAATGTGGGTGTTGCATGCTATCAAATTAGTCCTATTATGGGTGGCAAACGGTTAGCCGGTAATCGGTTTATCGTTTTATCGAATCGGTAACCGACGGTAATTGGTAAACCGATTATCGGCGGTATCGATAGTCGATTGAGGAAGAGGGCGTTCGGTATGCCGGCCCCAATTACGGTAAATACCGACGGTAAGTCGGTAATGTCGATACCGGGGGACCAGTACACTCCGTTTTGCCTAGCGCCCAACAACCCCTAACCCTAAAAACGAAATTAGGGATTTCGTTTCGTCTTCGGCCCTCTCATTCCCCGCTTCTCGTGTCTGACTCTCGACCGACGAGGCGACGACCAGGCAGCCCCCAAACTCCAAAACCCAGGCCAGATAGAGACCGTCAGAGACGACGACGACGGCTCGTCCTTCCCTCCGCGGCTCGACATCCGTTTTCTCCTTCCATGCCGATTACCGGGGTATCGGTAGTCGATTTAGGAAGGGGGTGTTCGGTATACTGGCCCCAATTGCGGTAAATACAGATGGTAAGTCGGTAATACCGATACCGAGGGACTAGTACACTGTGTTTTGCGTAGCGGCTAGCAACCCCAAACCCTAAAAACGAAATTAGGGATTTCGTTTAGTCTTTGGCCCTCTCCTTCTTCGCTTCTCGTGTCTGACTCTCGACCGACGAGGCACCGACCAGACAGCCCCCAAACTCCGAAACCCAGGCCAAAAAGAGACCGTCAAATGTGACGACGGTGACGGCGGCTCGTCCTTCCCTCCGCGACTCGACATCTGTTTCCTCCTTCCCTGTCTATCGCGCGCCTCCACTGTCTGTCGGTCGTCTATCTGCTCTGCGACGTCGAAGCCGCACTCGCTGTCCCTCTGCAGCCAGCGCCGCCCTCGCCACCTCCTCCCTGTGCCTCTTCAACCTCTCCCTTCACTCCACCACCACCCCCCTCACTAGCAGATCCCGCCGCCTTCCTTCTGCAGCAGCAGCACCCAACGGATCCCGCCGCCCACTGCCCATAATTTTGGTTCGGTAATTTCCCGATAAACTGAACTGAAAACGTGTTGTGACCTCTCCTCGCGGTAAATCGGTAAAACCGGTTTGTAACCGTTTACAGGCCATTCGGTAACTGATAAACCGAATACAAACCAGTAACGGTATTCGATCTCTCCCCCTCCATGCTCGACATACTGTTTACCGGGTCGGTCGGTAACCGATTTACCGATTATCGACCGATTGTCACCCCTAAGTCCTATTGAGATGTCACGATGAAATCTGATTAATTGAATCGTTTTAAAACTCTATCTAGTGAAGGAATCTAATGTATTATTATTCCAATTGAGCGTAAATTTTGAAGGAGAGAGGTTAATAATTTCATCCAGCAGCCATTTTTCAATATTTTCTTAAGGTCGGTGGTGTAGCCAGAATATGAGTTTAGTGAACTCATTACAAATAAATTATATAAAATATTATATTCAATTATAAAGTCTATTCTCTTTAACATATCCAATTAAATAGTTATTCATCAAATTATCAATTATTCAAGTCATTTCTCGTGTAATTCATAATTGTAAAGTGACATTTTGATTGCCAGTTAAGATGCCCATTAGTTTTACAAGCAAAACAACTAACACATATAGACATACTATAAAATGCATTTATGACCAAAGAAATTGTATCTTAAATAAGACAAATGTGTTAGATTCAAAGGTCTTTTTAGTTTTGCGAGAGTCATTTATATAGATAGATAGAATGAGAAATTTTTATGTTACGGGTTGTAAAATTGAGGACTTCCAATGTGATCGATCTAATTGATATAGTATTATTTATTTATGTATACACACATTATAATTGTAGGAATGGAGTCTTGAGTTATCATACAACTCATACTAAACTAGCACCTACATAAATAAATATATAACCCTATTTATATTTCCACCCTCCACCTCCCTACGCCACTCGTTAAGATTTAAGATATGAATACACGCATTATAATTTGAGATCAAAATCGAGAAGGTCTAACCCTCTTTAACTATAAGTAGTATAATAATATATGCTAGGTCCGGGTTTGGGATGAATGGATGAACTGGGAAGGGAGTGGAGTGTAAAGAACATGCTTTATCTATCTATGAATGATGATTACTACCACTACTAACCCCAAAGCTAAATAATTATGTAGGTGGAGGAACAATTGTTGAAACCCATACCTCTCTCTCTCTCTCTCTCTCTCTCTCTCTCTCTCATTATTATTGAGATATCATTAGGCAGCCACTCCTTCATGGGAGGAAGGAACCATCATCTACTCCTTGACTTGCCCTCCTTAACTAGTAGCTTCTTATTACTTATTAATATTTTGTCAATTCATTTGATATTTAGCCATGCTGTTGATGCTATATAGCATGTTCAGGAGGAAGCTAATGTGTTTTTTCCCCCATCAAATGGATGCAACTGTATCGTATCTTTCATCGAAAATCAATATCATAGTTAATCTAGTTAGCCCACATATAATGATCCAAAAGAAAAGAGTGACCACCTAAAGAAACAGAATAAGGTTGATTGACAAGAAAATCTGCACACTTATTTCCTTCCCGGAGAATGGAGCCGTCCAACACCCCAACTGCCTATGAGCGGAACATCGATCACCGTTACTATTGATTTGTTTTTTTTGTGTGTGTGGAAAAGTAAAGTTGGTGATGCTGGGTCACGAGTTTCCCGCCAGCCCAATACTATGATTGTCCCAAAGGAAACAAGTCTTGGTCCGGGCCGCTTCTTCCACTTGATTTCCGCCTGGAAAGCTTCCTCAATTTCATGCTTCATTCATTACTACTGTTTGCCTTAATTGATTTGTTCCAAAAACAAATAAATATGTTTGTTCCCCAAAAAAAAAAAATTAAAGGGAAAGGATATGGTTTCAAAACTCTTATCTACAAAATTATTAGATAATTCTATCTATAGCCATCCATTTTAATTGGATTTAGTAGCTCAAAATAATATGATAATATATGTACTAAAATTTGTCATAAACCAACATATCTCAATAACTCGAGTTAGTTGGGACCAACTGGTTCTTGACATGGTATCAAAATTAGTTTGGTTTTATATTCAGTATTACTTGGACATCAGGACAGTAGGATTTATATATAAATAAGTACATAACAAATGTACTATTTCACTTTTGATTAATTAAAACTGATGATATTTTCCTTATTCAACAATTCTTTTGAACTGTAAAGATCACTCTTGATTAATGGTACGCATGTCAATCGATCAATTTCCCCACCACTCCCTGTATTTGATTAGCTAGAAGAAGATCAGCTTCATGAAAACCATGCAATCAATATTCAAACCCAATCCAAACAGACACTTATATTCTAGGACCTGGTAATCGACATTTTTAGTTAATTGGCAATGATTACAGTAGTAGTAGTAGCTAGGACTAGTGCTGTCGCAGGAATAACATAATCGGCGGCTGCAGTTGGAGTAGGTCCAACTCCTTTTTCTGACACTCGAGTGAGCAAATGTGTAACCAACAAGCTAGGTTGAAACTTGTGAATTTGTTTCATCAGTGTATATATAGAGAAGAGATATTTTCAAATAATATTTCTAGTCGAACCCATGGCGGCATGCAACATGCATTTGCATGCTTTGTCTGGTGGTGTCATCAAACCAGAAGCAGAAGCAGTAGTTTTCTATCCATTCTAATGTTCAACGGTGGGTGGGATCCGCCGGGGGGAAGACGGAAGATGTTTCATCAAAACTTCTTCTTCTTTTTTATAATTATTAAAGTGATGCATCATAGTTGTTTCAATCCTTTTCCAAAGGAAAAAAGTTGTTTCGATCTTGAGTGGAAAAGAAGGAACCTCATAAGCCGATGAATTGAATGATGGGTTTGCTTATTTACTATATCGTGATCAAGCTCAACGACAAAACGCAGAAAACGCTAGACGTAAAGCGAGCGTTTGGACTCGTTGATTACTCTTAAGCATATACATACACTAATGCAGCAGCAACTGACGACTATTCACTGCTGATCTGTTTGTTAAAAAAGTTTAGTGACAACTTTCTTTCGGTGGATTACTTTGAATGCGTTTTGTCAAAAGTAGAGCAAACATGCTTAGCTAGCTTGCTTCTCTGGTTTTATTCATTTATTTCAACGCCGGCGGGGCCAATGCAATTAGATACCACCGGGAGAAACGGAGATATGCTTACTTACCTTTAATTACAATACAAATAATATTATCGAGAGACAGAAACAATAAGTATTTTGAGACAAAGCCAATCCATATGACAAAAGGGCTCAAGCAAGGTTTATTGTTGGCTCTGTTTCATTGGAGGAAGTTTCGTCACGTTTCCAGGGGAAAAGAAGATGGATTAGGAATATGGTTCTGTCGTCATAGTGGACGCCGCGCCGCATGAAATTTTGAAAGCAGATCAAAGAATGAACTAACTCACTCTTCATATCCCTAAACACCTTTTCCTTGTCATCATCATGACTGTATTCATCTACACTGTTGCTGCCATGGAAGTACTGATCTCGTGACCTTCTGATAGGCCACACAAGATGGCGAGCCAAGAACCTCTTTCGAGCGATAACTACTTGCATTGTTGGTAAAATCACCAGCTAGCTGATCTTGATTCTTTCCATTTCAATGTGCTTGGTCTTCTCACATAGAACTGTGTTTTAAGCAATGTGGATGGCAGAACTGTTATCACAATTGACAGTTATAAGAGTAGGGGTGGAAAAACAGTTCTGAAAGCAAACATCAGGCACTGTACCGTCACAGACGAGAGCCGAAAGAAAAGCACCACCATATCTGTTGAAATAAGTAACTCCAATGGACCTGTTGAAAGTGAAATATTGAACCATTCCCACCAAAGTTCCAAACTGCTCTCCGATAACAGGAGGGAAACTAACCTGAAAAGGAGTTGTTCCAAAGTGATCACGAGTCAGCAGCTCTGGCCTTGCCATTTTTACTCACTAGACAATCCAGATTGTTCAAAACTAAGAAACATGGATACAGTATCATCCTTCGTAGATTTTGCAACAAACTATTACACGCAACATTTGTACACTAAGAAGAAACTTCATCACACAGGACAGACACAAAGACCAACTGGAACTTCAAGTACCCTTCAACCGAATTGAACTAAACCGCTGGAGAGCTATCTAGTAGCTCAGATGAGGGTTAATCTTGAGGAGAGTTGCATCCCCATCTGTGTTATGCTAGATAGTTTCTCGTAAAGTCTACATAATTGCTTGTACTTTTGCATTCAATACTTCCCATCCATCCCTGACAGTAGGCTGATATTCTGAAACAACTGTCTTGTGAATGCCGGAGATGCTGATTATGTTTGTATTCCGAAACATGGCCCTGAAGGCCAATATCTAAAGACTGGATTCTCTTATGATCAGCTCCAACTATATAAGAAAGAAGACATTTTTCGCCCATGTTGGACAAGAAGGTTCTGTAAAATGCAGTGATGCACCAAGACAAGTACGTATGAAGCTCCCCGGCCCACTGCTGAAAGTTTTACAGGTAAATTGGCTAGCTTTCAGATGCGAGAAAGTAATTTCTAGAACTGCAGGAGCGGATACCTTTGTAAACTAGCAGCAAGACCAGTTAGAAAATAGAGGTAACCAGATCATTGATAATTGGATGTAAGAGTAGCTTGGGATGCCAACTGCTATGACCTTCAGATCTGATCGACAGACTTGTCAAAGAGGCTTCTTGTAGAGAAAATAAGTACGATGTACCCTGTCAATGCTCCTTATCACCATCCATGCTGATCGCCTATCTTTAGGTACATGTCAACCAAATCAAAATGCACTGCAGAAACAGCTTGCCTCTGATATATATCCCAGTTTACATGACCTCGTCAATCATGATGAAACCTGCATCGCTTTCATCCATGGCATAGAATTAGGAAACAAAGTCAAGCGGTCATGGACTGCCAAAGAAAACAATTCGCATGAAAGAGCTGAAAAAGCTTTCCCGTGTATTCTTCCTTAATCACTAATGTCGTCTGATATGAGCTCGTTCACAAGTACACCAGCTTTTTCATCACTATCACAATAATCCTTGATCAGAAATTCCCAGCTATCCAACTCCATCCCTAATTTTCTATTCTGCATCTCCTCTAAAACAAAGCCAGCGCCTTCAACATTTCCAGACTTGAGCAAGCCGCCAACCAGGCAACTAAATGTTTCAGTACGAGGAGAATGCCTACTAGCTAACATTCCAGTTAAAACTTTCAGACCTCCCTCAAAATCTCCATGGCGGCAAAACCCATCAACCAACATCCTATAAGTTGCTGCATTAGCCTCGCAACCTCCAATTTGCATTTCAAACAAGACTTTGTAAGCCTCCGTCACTCTGCCCTCTTTACACAGATAATTTACCAATATATTATAGGTGACAACATCTGGCTTAAATCGTCTCTTCTTCATTTCAAGAAGCAAAGATTTTGCCTCCTCAATCTTCCCTCGCTTTCCAAGATCATTCATCAAAATACCAAAGTTCAACACTTTCGGTTTACAGCCTCGATATTCCATATCAAACATCACCTTTTTGGCCTCCTTATATTCTCCCAAGCTGCATAATCCCTCCATCAACAACGCATAAGTTACTTCGTTTGGGGGCTTACCCTTCTTGATCATGTCGTCAAAAAAGTCCCGTGCCTTACCAATTTCACCCTTCCTGCACAAATACCCAATCAGACTGTTATAAGTCACAACAGTGGGTTCAACTTTTCTCTCAAGCATTTCATCGAACACCTGGCGGGCTTGATCCCAGTCCCCTCTACCCAGCCACCCCTTGATCATAATGTTAAATGGGACCGAATTCCGTCGAATGCCCATCTTACTGGACCTACCAAACAACTGCTTCGCGTCCATTAAACGATCGTTGTCTACCAGAACGTTTAGCAGAGCGTTAAATGACTGGGACGTCCGCTCACAGTTGAACTGAGGCATTCTATCAAACAGCTCGACTGCCTTATCTACCGAATTGGCTTTCCCGTAATGCCCAAAAAGAGCAACGAAAAGGTTCTCTCCACACCGAAGGTTTTTTGCTTGTAATTGACCCAGAACGCCCTCAACAGCTTCAAAATCGCCAGAACGAGCGAGCTTGTAGATGAGAGCAGAATACGAAGGGTAGTCGTGTCTAAATCCTTCCCGTCGGTATTCCTGAAAGAGAGCCAAGGCGTCTTCTGGGTCTTGGGTTTCTTTCACATTGGTGACAAATGGTATGTTTCTGCGATGCCGTCGCTGACGCGAATGGTGAGGGTTTTCATCCCTGGGTTTGGCTTTGGGTTTCGGAGACTGGAAAGTGGCATACAATCTAAGGCGCCTGGAACCGAAGTAGCACTTGAGTTTGGTGGTTTTGGATATTGGGAGTATCATAGGTTCCGATTTTGATTCAGACAACAGAAGAAGTATTGAGGCTGCCGTCTTCTATTCGTCTATTGCCAAGGCCATTGCCACCAGTACCCGGAACCTTGATGTTGATAGTGGCCTAGTGGGGTTTGCTAACCTCTCGACTAGGTCGGTAAATGAGCCGAACCGAGTCGAATTTTACCTCAATTTGAGCACACGAGTTGAGTTCGAGTTCGACTCTTTTATTAACGAGTCGAGTCGAACTCGAGATAGCTTGTTTAATAAAATTTTGATTTTTATTTGGTACTTCATTTTGTATATCATGATACATATGATTTATTTTGTTAGCTAATCTCATATGATACTTTGCTGGTATCATATATCATTTAGTTAATAAATTTTAACTACACCAAATCATGTTATTTCGTAGTATCGAAGCAATCAATGATACATAATTTCTTTTTAAAGTAGAAAATAATATATATTTGCTCACATACTCAACGTGTTAAACTTTATATATGGTGAAATATATAATTTAACAACCAAATAAATTAAAATCATAAGATATATATTGATTCGTCCATAAGTCGGTAATCGAGTTAGCTCTTTAGCCATATGTTGAGACATATCATGAGCTCTAAACAAGCCAGCTCACGAGTTTAGCTCAACAAGTCACCGAGCCGAGCTAGCTCGTGAGCTCTGATTTTTAGTTTGAGCAACAATTTTCTGGATTTCTGGATTTTGGAAGTTTGTAGTTTCTGTAAAATAATTATCAAGCAAAAATATAATTCCTACTTTCGTTTTCGTTGTAGGAAATTTGAAATGAGACAGCATTAATATTATATATTGTGTAGAGTGTATATAAAACATGTCTTTTCCCTACAAATTCATTAGCACATTCAAAAAAGGTGAAATGAACCAATTTATTAAACTCCTAATGATTGTTGGATCCAATCATGTCAGAATAGAAAAAGGTTTAAAATTTGACGGTTAGCCGAACTGAAATGTTCAAAGAACCAGTCACATGTAGTTTACAAAAAGATATGAATACGATTGTGTAATAGTAGGTCTAAAAATTAATACTAATTTAAGAATTATACATCACTTTTACATATTCAACATTGCAATTTGATATGGAATATTCGAACCAATGACATTTGGGCCGCGATTTTCAAGTTTATCATCTATTTATAAGATATATAGGAATTTAATTAAGTACTAAATAATAATTAAAATAAGGAATTTGTCCTTTGTTAGTTACCTAAAGTTTCAACTCAAATGCATGTTTCTTAATAGTTTTTGCTTTGTATTTGTATGAGATGAGGTCGACTGGCTCTATGACTGTGCAGCTGGAGAAAAATGAAATTTGCTATTGCGAGATTATGATAGATTTTGAGATGGTTGGGTCGTGTATTGTAGACTCTCAAATCTAAAGTAAGAAGAAGAGACGATGGGATAGTCGAACATGGTCTGTGATGTTTCATGTTGTAGATTTCTGTGATAAGTAAAAGGATGATATGACAGTGTAGCTACGTATACGAATTGTTGAAAATAACATCATTTTGAAGTGGCTGGTGCTCGAATCAGTTGGTTAAATCGGTTGGATTTCCCACTAAGATAGACAAACTCGACTTTGACCCAGCCTAAGTAGACAACCAACTGTGCCTTCGGACCCGCTGAGATACTCAGGTTTAGATAGAATTGGTTCGACCAACATAGTCATACTCGAATTGAAAATCATGGTTATGACTTTTGTTTGTGTTGGAAGATACATTAGTTCAAATCTCAATACTTGTCTATTTTCTATACAAAATAAAGATAAATAATGGCGAAGACAAAAATGTCATTCATACTTTTGCTCTCGTTGTAGGAAATTTAAATGAGATGGCAATTTTATCGTGCCAATAGTATATATTGTGTAAAGTGTATATGTAGACATGTCCTTGCTCTACAAATTCATTTTAATACATAAAAAGTTGAAAGAAACCAATCTATTAAACTCAACCTCTTCTAATGATTGTTGGATCCATCATGCTGTCGGATTAGGAAGATGTTTAGAACTTAACAGTCAACCGAGCTAAAAACATTCAAAGAACCCGTCCCCATATAGTTTGCAGAAAGATATGAACATGATTGCCACATAGTAGTTCTATAAACTAATGCTAATGTAGGAGTTCAACATCGCTTCTACACATTCGATATTGCAATTCGATATGTAATATTGGAACAATGATATTTGGTCTATGATTTTAAAGTTATCGTCTATTTATAAGATTATAGAAATTTAAATTAAGTTTTAAAGTATAATTGAAATAATTAAATATGAAAATCGAAGTATCAAAACACCAATAAGTACAGAGCGAAGATTTAGCGACCTTAACTAACTGTTGAAAAGTTCTGTGATTTTTTAATTTTAGCTTCATATATGTTTTTTATTTAAAATGATACAACTCATCTATGAAGTATGATTGGTTAAGATTCTTATCATAGTTGAAAATGACCACGGTTCAAATTCTAGTATGTGTATTTTTTTTAAGAATAAATGAGAAACAAATAGATTATTGTGAAGACAAAAATATCCTTTCTACTTTCACCCTCGTTGCAGGAAAATTTGAATGGGGTGAAAAAAAATATTCAGCTATCTATATATTTGTAGATGAGATGAATAAAACTTAAAAAATTTAATTTATGAATATTTTACAAAAACAAACCTAACTATTTCGACCAAAAGACAGTCTAAACTAAGCTAGTATGTAAGACTTTGATTGTTTTTACCTAAATTTAAATTTTAAATTAAAAACAAGAAATGGAGAAATAAGACAAAAAAGTGTTCTTATACTTTTCAATATATATGTACTAGATTTGGGCCCGCCCGTTGGACGGGTACATTTTATCGATGAAAATTATCCGAACCAAATATACATTTTTATATAATACGATAAAGAAATCCAAATAATTCAGTTACCAAAATGATAAAATGACATACATCAAAGAGTTTTATAAAGTTTTCTGACATCTTAAATGATTCATCGACGTAAGAAGTTGAGATTAAAAACTAAGATGATATCAAGAAGTCGAATGCTAATTAAAAACTTATTAAATCGAACTAAAACTATGGTCTACACCATCAATATTATCTTCCTTCGTATCAACACTCAAACTGTCATTATCTCCAATATTTGATCCACTACCTCCATCATTAAGCATTCTTTTTTCTACATTTCATTGAAAACAAAAATTTAATGATAAAATATTACAAATATGACACGTCAATTTCACATCGATAGAATTTACAAATATTTACAAATATGGTTTATAAACCTAATAATGGAAGTGCTAATAATTAAAAGGAAGAAGTGTCCTTCCTAGACACATAATTCTAGCTACTTGCCACAAATTTTATTTTTTAATAACCTCCTTCCCGTTTTTATTAGTTAATTAGCATCTTTTTTTGGAGATGGTGAGTGAACTGATTATTAAGATTTAGGGGATGATGGCATGATGCCGCTTGAGTGTTGTCCTCCTAAAGAATTCTCCGGCTCAATTATTTCTGGTCCAAGTAAAGCCCTTTCAAATGTTTTCGTGTCCCGTTTGCAAGAGAAAAAAGAATGGGCCCAGCCCAATTCGGTCAATAAATTGATAGTACAGTTACCAAAATCTCCTGCCGTGGATTACGCAGAGAGCAAGAAAAAGGAGAATAAGGGGGTTCATGCCAAGAACCTCTATATAGTATTGTTAGGATTAGGATGTATGTATAACTCTTCTTTTTCTAATCATATATATAATTCTTCCTGATAACGTTTGGTTTAGTGGGACTTCTTTTATGGATGAAAGCTGCTTCACGATCATTGGTACCATTTTCAAGCATTTGGAGGAGCTTTAGTTAGGAACCTGATCATAACATTTTTTTTTTGTTAGAAAAAAATTTAAAGGACACAAAAACAAAAACGAAAAACAAAAGGATTATGCATGTATCACTATCAATATATATTAAAATGAATTGGAAAACTATTTCCATATTTTAAATTTGATGGTACGAGAGCGCAAGTTGGAAGGTTATTTCCTTCTACATATTATTCACGGGTCGTTTGCTAGATTTGAAAAATGAAAATTTTGACAAAATTTGGGTTTTGTAATACCATGGATATATGAGGGTTTTGGGTTCATTATGGACTTAAAAAATACCAATGTTTGTTTCATAGATTTCATGATAGAATTGGTTAATTAGATTTGTATGTATGAAGTGAAATTGACCTTTATTGCCCTCGTTGGCATGAGAGATAAATGAAATAGGACGGGTAGTTTGGTTTTAAATGATAAACTTCAAAGTCCATGATCAATTTCCACATAAAGAGGTGGAGCTTTCAACTCTGTGGGATTCGCGAATTTGTACCCTTAAAGTTCATGGAATTTATTAGGGGTGGAAGTCTGGTTTGCGGGTTGCGGGTAACCCGCAAACCGCACACTTTGTGGATACCCATACCCACAATTTGTGGATAGTGGGTTGGGTGTGGGTAGCAAAATATTGGTTTTTGTGCTTAGTGGTTAACCACTACCCACAGCGGTTTACCCACAAAATCCACATTAACCACATTAGTTATATTTATTTCTTCAAAATACTTTGTAACACACATTAACCACATTAGTTATATTAGTTTGTGAAATTTGGAAGACAAAGAATTAAAGTAGCTACCAAAGTCAAATATGCACTTATTCTATAAAACAAAACCAAGTCAATACGCAATGTTCATGTGAGATACTTTTATTAAATAAGCATTGTCCATGTGTTATATTTTTATTTTATAACAAAACCAAGTCCATAGATATAGTCAGATAAATTACTCGATTCATTAAAAGAGGGGAATAATCGATAAAGGTTAGTCAGATACCCAAACTCATATTCATTTATCCACGAACTCACAAACAACACAAAATGCAACCAAACTACCAACAACACAAGACTATAATTGAGAGTGGAGAATAATCGATTCAATAAAAGCGGGCGCCTCCACTTATCGAGCCACTTT